GCATTACTTCGGGTTTTTCATATGCATTATTTCGTATGCACAGTTTCCATATGCACAATTTCAGGGTGCCGACCTGTGGTGACTATATGATGTCGAACTTTCGTGCTAAGTGATGCATGGGAGACGATAAATGGTGTTGTCAAGTCTTTGTACTCATCCAGCATACGTTTGCTCGGATCAGGCAGGTTTGGTGCAACTATATAACATTGTTCTCTAGAAGTTGTACAAGCAAGTGCGCTTACCTCAAACTTTGTTGTGTCGACAACTTGTGAAGGAAATCCGCTCCGATAATTGGTCGAGTGACGTCCGCAACCACAAACTTCCAGTCCATTGGTCTTCTTAACCCGAAGTCGACTTGGAGAAACTTTGTTCTGTAAGTTTTTATCGGAGTACCATTAGCTGCATACAGGCTGTGGTTTAAGTCTAACTTGTCGCATTTTTGTGGTGGGACTACGGAGAAATCGGCGCCGGTGTCAATAAGGAAACGACGATTTGTTTTTCGATCATTTATGAAAAGACGACGACTTTCATTTAAATTAGCTCTGTGCGTCGTCTCTGCTAACAGAGCTTCCTTAAGTTTTCCGTCATGTCTAGCTTCTTGAACTGGCATGGTTCGACGCATTTTTTTGCCTTCACACCCAAACGCCAATGATATTTGCAGAACGGAAAACGTGGACTCGACTGGCTTGTCACGAGTTTTTGTACCTCTACTCTGATTGCGTGTTGCTCGAGACACTTTGAGTTCGTCTATTTGAGCTTGTAGCTGTTGTATCTGCTTACCGAGTGTAGGCTCGCCACGTATGGCTGATACAATGGAAAAATTTAACATTTCCATCATCTGGTCCGCTTGCCGTGCCATGTCTGTTGAATCGCCAGTGCCAATTGATATCACCGCACGTACATTATCAGGTAACCGTTCGAGCCATAGCGATTTTAGCACATCGTCACTAAGATTATCCCTGGCCAATTCTCTCATCCGTTTCAGCAGTTGTGTAGGCTTTAAGTCACCGAGTTCACTTTCTTTAATTAGCTTGCGTATTTTTCGCTGATCAGATTCGGCATATTCAGCAATCAGTGCTTTTTTAACTGCTTCGTATTTATTTGCCGCCGGCGGGTTGCTTACAATGTCAGCAATTTGCATTATCGCCTCCGTATCTAATGAACTGATCACATAATGATACTTCGTGTCATCGATTTTTACATGTGAAATTGCAAAATTGGATGCCATCTGGATAAAATATAACTCGGCCTTTGCTTGCAGAATGCAGGCGGTCTAATGCTGATGTGTTGTAACTCACCGGTAAAACAATTTTCTTCCGGCGTGTGGGCTGCACCTGTGGCATTATCTTGTTCTTCAGACATCCTTGCAGACAAAACCACGTCAGCGACGCAGTGCACGGCTAGCTCTTCTTCACGCTACAAAACGTATATATTTTTTGTTCAAGTGGCCGATGCCGTCACGTGCTTTTCGAACCTTCGCGAATTTCTTGTGTCGGGGTCACCAATGTGGGGAGCTCCTGGCTCGTCACGGTGTTAGCGCAGGTCCCACTACCGAGTTCCTAACGCCAATTGGTATGTTAATAAATGTTTACACACCGGTTGTGTTTTTTACTCAGCAAACTGTTCAGTAGCTTTTATTAAATTATTATTATTACAAAATCAAGTATCAAATAATCTATGTCTTCGCGAGATGAGTAGCACTCGTATACACGGTTTTCGAATGGTTACCAATATAGCGTAGAAGAAGAAAAAGGAAGATAATTATGTATCTACATTCTAGAATGTTTCAAGAAAACAATGTCAATTTGAGAAATGAAACATGATTAAAACAGTGTTACCAGATTTTACATACAAGTATATCTCAAACTAAATTTTAATAGCTAATAGTAGGGTGACTAACTTTGTGACATACTTTGTCAAAATCTTTACTGAAATCGGTGTATATTACGTCGGTATGAGAATTTTCTCTAAAACCGTTTGAGACATGAGTTGTAAACTCCAATAAATTAGTGATAGTAGATTTTCCTTTAGAAAACCCGAGTTGAGATTGTGATATTGAAGAAGATATAGAATATGTCGGCTGATTAATAATAACTGCTGCAACTAATTTAGGGATAGCGGAGAGCTTCGCTATGCCTCGATAGTTTTCTATAGAGGACCTGCTGCCGTTTTTGTGAAGTGGTATTATGAAAGACTCCTTCCAGGCTGACGGAAAAACGCCATGTTTAAGTGACAAATTGAATAGAGTTGTTAAAGGCTCGCAGATGTTCTCAGCGCAGTTTTTAAGAAAACAGGTCGGAATATGGTTAGGTCCAGGCCTAAATGACGCTTTAAAAGTTTTTAAATAGTGTAAAACTTCATCGGAAGATATTACTGGAATATAAGCAGAGTTGATTGGACAAAGCTCGTACGGATAGTATCCACTTATAGGGAAGTCTACAGAATAATTGGACCTAAAGAACTGGGCAAACATGTTGGCAATGAGTTGGCTGTCGCTAGACACAGTGTTGCGATAATGCATAGCGGACGGAAAACCATGTACTTTACGCTTTGATTTGAATTTACGAAACCATAAAATGATTTAGGATAGTTAATTAAATTCTTCTTAATTTTACATAAATATGACTAATAACATTTCTTATTTAATACAAAGTAGCTATGCCGCCAAACTTAGTACTTTACGTAATCACTGTGTAAGCCCGTTCTTTAATACAATTTCAAAGAATGTGACCTTTTATTTTTCAAGTTTTTAAGCTCTTTAGTGAACCATAATTGTATTGGTTCTTCATGAACAATATTACGTTTTGGCACATACTTTCGAAAAAAAAATTAAAACAGTATCATTAAAGTGCTCAACGCTAAGCTTAATCTCTACATATTGGCCAAGATAACTTTGAAAGTTCCTTGTTAATTTTTCTGAAATTTGCTCTCGCAAAAACATATCTATCACTTGAACTATACGACTTATTATTATGCATTTCATTTATGATTTCGTAGCTGAACTCAAGAGCGGGATGGTAGGCATCCTCTGGTAAAACTAGGGAATCACACCGATTAATAGAAGACTTCGGAACATCATCAAAGTAAACGAGATCCAAGACCTTTCCAAACATAATCGGACATATATTTATAAGTTTAGCCGTTTCCTCCAGAAATGCATTGCAACTATCTCTAGATGAAACTGGTACAACATCGGTGTCAATATTGTTCCATGAAATATGTGGCAGCTTAAAATCGCCCAAAACAATCATAGAATCGAATGCCGCAAGCATTGCATTTATGGACTCAAGTAAAGAAACTAGCTGCATATATACTGATACGGCAGAATTAGGAGGGATGTAGCAAAGAGCTAAATAAACATAACTCTTTCCAGCCTATACACGTATACATTTAAATTCGGTATATTCAATGACAGGAACACTACCTTCCCCGGATGGTATCGATGAAAGCAGCGCTAAAAGAACACCACCGCCGATTCTGCCCCCGCGGTCGCTCCTGTATATTTGATATTCATTTGGAAGAATTTCGGAATTAAAAATATAAGGTTTGAGCCATGTTTCGGTCAAGGAAATATTATTATAATTGCAGTCAAAACCTTTTAAATATAAGTCAGTTGATTTGGTATTCAAACCTCTAATGTTTTGATAGTAAATACTTAAATTAGACTTGCGAGTTTTAATCAGAATTAAGATTAGAAATTGTAGCTACGTTGTTATTACTTTTATTAGGTATAAACAATCCGATTACAGTCAATCATGATTAATTTTGATTGATTGAACAGCTAATCGTAACCGCGATTAAAAAGATTAATTTTTAATCATTAACCTTTAATTGGATTAAGTAGGTTTGGTGATTAATTTATTTACGCTGGAATTTTCCTGTGTACATAAGGCCAGTTAATCGGGTATGGCGAAATCGGTTTTCCTTATCAATCTAAGCAATTCGGTGTGCGTTTTCATTAAAATCTATTCCAACAGACGTTGTGTAAACTAGGTATTAATATCCCTCTGCACATGTGCGATGGGTTGCAAAAATTCCCTGTTTATGTATTACTAATAAAAATAATATTTTTTTTTTTTTATATATACGGCGTAGCGACGAATAACTGTTACCCCGGTTTTTTTGAGAAATAAAATGGTCATTTATAGATTTTGCGAAAAAAGTATTTTATTGTTAATTTTCCACATATTTTACTTTAGTTGTATTTACTAGTTTTTAAATTTTAATCCTTATTTACATTTGCTAGCAGTGTAAACTTTGAGAGAAAAGTTCATTTGGCACGCAGGTCTTCGTCAGTTAATTTATTCCATATCTTCTGTAAACCATAGGCAAATTTTCTCCATTTTGAGTCCCTTATACTCCCCCTTTTGTCCAACATAAGGCCTCTTACTTACAAATCGAAAGACTCGGAACTGGTGACTAAGACGGCCATTAATTCGAAAAACCTCATACAGTTTTTTTTGTTTTTTTTTGTATTTTTTTGTACAAAGCCTAAGAAAAAATAAACCTGAAAAAGACTTGCGTGTCAAATGAACTTTTCTCTCAAAGTTTAAACTGCTGGCAAATGTAAATAGGGATTAAAATTTAATAACTAATTAATACAACTAAAGTAAAATCTGTGGAAAATTTAGTAGTCCACTTGCAAACAGCGTCATGTGATTTTATAATAGAAAGCCATAAATTTGAAAAGACGACTACGAAAACAAGTATCATTTAAATTGAATCTTTTTTATTATTACCTGAAAATTTGGATAAATAAGAGCCTTATAAAATTGTTACATAACATGACATGTCATAAGATAACATTAACAGTCTATACGACTAAGGCAGTTTTCTAAGTTCATCAGAAGATGGATACTTTTGAAAGTTCATGATTAAGTATGATAGCGACTTTTGGAAGAATACTTAACATTCGATGCTATTTTTTCAGAATATAAAAAGCTTTTGCACTCTGTTGTTACTGGACATGAAACTACTTTAAATACTGGTACGTAATCCACCAAAAACTAAAAATCTAAAATATTTTACATAGCGCACTTTGCAAGTGGACTACTCAATTAACAATAAAATACTTTTTCGCAAAATCTATAAAAGTCACTTTTATTTCTCAAAAAACCCGGGGTAACAGTTATTCGTCGTAACGCTTTATTATGTGTTTTTATAAGCGTGGAACACAAAATAATAACTATAACTCTTGTTTGCTTTCAAATTTGGACAATCAATCAGATTTTATTTTTAATTGATGAATGATTAAAATTAATTAATCGTAATCACAACCGGCGATTAACGATTAAAAAAATTTAATCATTAATCGTACAGATGATTACGATTAATTAATTTTAATCGTTAATCGCGATTAATATTTGAATGGTTAATTTTTAATCCTTAATCAGATTAACATTTTTCCAACACTGGTTTATACTCAAACTCGCGACCAAACGCCCCGGTCGACCAAAATTAATTATTTAGAAGTGAATCAAAATCTTCGGCAGCTACATCAATTTTAAAATCATTGTATTTAAAATTAAATTTACGAATAAATACATCTTTAGTTTAAATTTTAGTCGATATGTATGACTTTATATCATCCGAAAGTGTTTTTAGCAAATCTAGATACAAAGATTGATCTTCTCGGAGGAATTACAACCAAGTTTTTCGTAATGATGTCTGAAATGTGCGATTCCGAATTATTCGGATGAACCAAGTTAGACAGTGCAGCTTCAGATGTTGATGGCAACACTGTTATATCAACGGCTTGATTGACGTTATTATTTTTAGATGTAGACCTAGTGGATTTGGCTTTAAATAGCGGAGTCTCCAATGCCAGAGGGCATGGAGAATAAAGATTAATAAGTTCCAAGGGCTGTGATGGAGGTTTTTTCTGAGAGGATTCTGTGGCAATATTTTTAGGTGGACTACTACCACGCCTACATTTATTTTCTCGGCTATCCTCAGAGTGTGGAGGGTTGTCGAGACATGTGAAAGACTTAAAATTTTTTTCATACTGCTTACATTTCTCAGCAAGCATCGATAGATCCTTCCCGATCTCAGAAAAACCATTCCTGGACATCTTAAAAAAATTTAAGTAAATAAACTTCGGTTGATCTACATTTTTGACAAGACCAGCGAAGACCCTTTCCCTCATTAATTGCGTCTAACACCCTACCGCTCAAACCAGCACATTTTATATGAGCAATCCCATCGCAGAGCTAGCATGACACATAGGACTCCTTTTAACGTGGCAATTGGTGTAAATACACGTCATGTTTAAAATAATACTTATTTATAGGTTTTGGAAGCAAAAAAGCCAAAAAGTTTTCAAAGCGATGTATTAATCAGAGAACCAATCAGCTGGTAAATATCAGTTTGAAGGCTATGTAGCGAATAGTTTTAAATTCACTGTATTTTGACACTTAATAAACTCAATGCGAACAGCTGTGACAAAAATGAAACAGCAGAAGTGACAAAAAGACAAAAAGAGCAAAATCAATGTGCACAAACAAAAACAATCGTAGGTATAGACATGATACAAAAAAGAAGGTAGTTTCATGGTCACCTTTTCGTCGCCATATTAACAACATGACAATTAAGTAGATTGTGACATTTCGTGATACCATACCCAATATCTAGAATCCTCCAAATTTTGTTATTATTTTTTTGTTATTTACTAACATTTTGTTCTTAGAATCGAAATTTGAACAAGCAAACGGTATTTTCTTGTACAATAATATTCAGGCAGGTTCCGCAATTCACTTTCGAGTGAATTTCAATCAAACTCGCTTTGAATTCAAATTGGCAGGGGTTGAAATTCACTCGGAAGTGAATTGCAGAACCTGCCAGATTGGGTTATTGGGCCGTATGCATAAAAACTGAGCCATTGCGTTTTCTTAAAATATATCTTTAATTTGAATTTATTTGAACAAATTGAGTACAAGGTCTGAAATTTTAAGAAAAAGCATATGCTTACGATTTATGCATACGCCCCATTGTGTCCAAACGCTTAACCCAAAGCAAAAGATTTTAGCACACAAGTGTGGTCAAACAATTTTAAACGTTAGTTTAAAATAAAGATTTCAAATTTTCAGACACAAATTTATGAATAAATTCGGGTTGAAATATGGACATATAAAAAAAAAACTGTGGTCAGCGGAGCCGGAGTTTTACTTACATTTTCTCTGTAAAAATTCTAATTTTACTCAATTTTTCAATGAATCCCCCCTCCGCTCCCAACCCCAAAATCATTGTATAAATATCTGCACATTTCCCCTTTTGTTTTTGAAAGAGAAGAGGTCTAATGCTCAATAAGATGATAACAGTGTTTCTAGTTTTCATACTAGCAATAAATCATCAATGTTGTTTCACACCCCCTCCAATATTTAACAGTAAAATATATTTATTTTTACGCAAAGAAACAACGTTGTTGTCGAAATATACTAGAATTGGATTATATCTCACTTCTCTGAAAGTCATGAGGCCAATGGGCCCAAAGTAAATTCCGTTTTCAAGTTACTTAAAAGACATGGACAAAGACAATATCGAAATGTGTAATTTCAGTGTCAGAATTATATCAGATACAATCGTATCCGACATAGAAAACTGTAACAGTCGCTAGTTACATTGCTACATTGCTGACAGCTTGTAGGTGTGTTTTTGGTTAGTGTATTGGTGTTTTTGGCTCAGTGTGTTAGTGTATTTTGAATAAATTTTAATAGAAATAAAAGAAAGTGTAATAGAAATGAAAGAAATTGTAAAAGATAAGAGCGCATGCCAAAAAAACAGGTGATCTCAGCTGTAGGCATTTTTCGGCAATAAGCTGATAGCGTTGTGACAACAACAATATATTGGGTTTATTCGATAGTTATCAAAACTATCAGATTTTCCTGTTCGAGTACACAAAAATCCAGCAATTTCATTCTGATGAAAAGCTGCTAGTTCCTGCTGGAAAAATTTTTGTAAGCAGCCATTTGCCAGCAAGACAACAGCTGATCAAAGTCATCTGTTTTCAATTCACAAAAATATGGAAATTTCTTTTAGATTTAGATTTAGATTTGTTATTATGATTTTTAAGTTTGAAATAACTTATTAGAACGGCAAATGTGTCGAAAGAAAGCAAATACTCATTTACTCATGTTTGATTAGCTAATTGATTTAGGAAAACCTTTAATTTATATTCTTTTCATGTTTTCTGTTTTATGCTTTTCTATGTAAACAAAATTTCGATCAGCTGTACTAAAAACTTACAAGTTTTTGCTGGTTTTGCGTTCGCGTACTTTTGCTGCCATTTCTCTCTTTGAGAGAGATGAGATAAAAATTCATTAGAATTATGCTGCTGAGAGTTTTCTGCTGGAAGAATACGGGAATACATCTATTATATAAAACAATACTCGGCACATGCAATTAAGAATATCAAGATAAATTAATCAAATTTACAGGAAATTTTGATATTTTACTTGTCTTTAAATTGTGCACCAGACGTTTATTCACACTTTTTTTAATTTTTTACTTTATTAGGCGTAAACAGCTTTATAAAACACAAAATTGAAACAGAGCACAAAAAAGCGCAGCTTCACAGCTTTGACGTTTGCGTTTCAGCACATACAACAAAAGGCAAATCATTAATATTATGTAACATACGACAAAATGCAGACGAAATATCTCAAAACCTAAGGGAGATATAAAAAATGAACTGCAGAAACCAAAAGAGCATGTTAGTAAATCTGCATCAAAATCCCAAAATCGTGATTTTGCACATTCGACATCCGTTTTCTGAGGCGACGATATGGAGGTAATACATGCAATGGGGTATAGTCGTTGTGCTGGGTATGCAGTTACACTTGTACGGCTATACTCAATCCCGACTCTTGCGTCCTCGTTCGCGCACTTTGGGCAACGTGAGCAACCCATGTGCGAGATGCGGTAACCAATCCGAGTGGATCAAGACAGAAAGTGAGGGAGCTTGGGTGGGGCCACTCTGACTTATACGGTTTAACGGCTCACTGAAGTCTGCAGCGTCTGTCTAGGAGCAAGCGGCTCGCTATATTAACGAGCATTCGGTTGCGAAAACACCTTTCAGTGAATTAACAGAATAAAGCCTCGTATGCGACCCCCTTTTGATGAAGACCACGGCAAACGTATAATGGATTACGAATTGAAGGCCTGCACCTGGAATGTAAGGACCATTAATGGGGAAGGTGCCTGTGGCATCCTGGTTGATGTCCACGTAGGGACAAAAGCTGACATCACCGCCATCAAATAAATGTGTTGGGCGGGCCAAGGCAAGAAATACCTGGTACCTTGCGACGTCTACTACAGCTGCCATAAAAAGGAGCACAACTTCGATGTAGGATTTGTGGTGAGACTCCCTCGCATAAAAAGATCCATCAAGCTACGTGGCTGCCTCCAGATCGTAAAACGAGATTGTTATAGACGGAAGGCACGCTTCCAGTATTTTGGACATACGTACACTTCCAGGTCCAAACATCGACTCGGGCCACTATCTTGTTGCAGCCAATACTTTGCTGGGTACTTTGCACTGTATTTAACGTTAGAGAAATTTGGATTTCTACATTAGATAACTAGGGTAATTCTCTAATCGTTCTCGATTCGATGACGAAGTTAGAGAACTACATTAGAATTCGATTCAAGAACGATTAGAGAAACAACACAAATTCAAATAAATGTAAATAAGCAATATTCCAAATAAATGAATCAAGAACTATTTTTAAGTTCAATTAATTCATTATTATTTTATTGCGAATAGATTTAATACAAATTTTAGAAAGAAGGCGTCTTATTTAATAAAGCAAAATAGCAGTTTGAAATTCACGTTCGAATCCCATTAGAAATCAATATTAGAATTCGATTATAGAATTAATATTTTCTCGAGTCGAGAACTATGTCCCATTTTTGTTGAGATCGCTATGATTCTCGATAGTTTTTCGAGTCGTTCTCTAACGTCTGAGATTGGAGAATGTGGCTAGGTCTCCAATAATTCTCTAATCGATAGCTAACCGCAATGTTTGCTGGGTATATGCACCCGCCTCTGCGCAGCAAAAAATGTGCGACCAAAAATCCAAGCAACGCTTAACGTCTAAAAGCTGCAGTCACAACAGACAGCTGCGAGCAGTGGAACCAAATTTCCCGTTCATTAAGTACCGCCGCCGAAGAAATACTTAGTAGAATTTCAGCGAGTACGAAAGAACAACTGGTACGATGAGAGTGTCAAGAAGCGAGCTTTGTGGAACCACTATAGGGAACTGAAGAGGGACGCGAGACGTCTTTGCCGCAATTAGAAGAGAGAGGGCGAAATACGTAAGTGTGAAGAGATTGAAATGCTGGCAAACAAAAAACGGCCAAAAAATTTACCAGAGAGTTAGGCGACACGATTATCGTACAGGGAAAATTTTTTAAACTCTATGTGATCTTATAGAAGCTGATCTTGCCTCACTCGTTGCTTGGACCAAAAACAGCGGAAAAACAGAGCTAGTCCTTTTTACCAGGCGATACAAAGTACCAGCTCTTACACCCCCCAGACTCGTTGGCTCAAGCCCGGAGTTTAAACGAACTGCCAGCAAACTGCTTTGGAATGACAACACAATGGAACACATTAAGAAAGCCAGAACAGCGCACTTCGCATGTAAAAGGCGATCGGTGAATCGTGGGGCTTCTCACCTAAGATAGTTCACTGGATAAACACTGCCATTGTTCGCCCGATTCTGCTTTACGGAGCCCTAATATGGTGGCCTACCCTTGATAAGACAACAGCGCTCAAGCAGCTTCAAAAGGTACAAAGGAGTGCGGAGCTATACGTAAGTGGAGCTCTTTGTTCCTCCCCGACCGAAGCTCTTAACGCGATCCTACATACATCTGCCCCGCTTGTTTTAGTAGCTCGGGAAACAGCCATGATTGCAGCCTTAAGACTCCTGCAGGCTCTTGGAGTCAAGGTCCATCAGGCCATTCGATAATCCTAGGGGCACGGGCGCCCATACCGATACCTGCATATACTGACTACTGTATACCATCAAATACCTTCACCAAAAACTATATAATTACCATACCAACTCAAAACGACTGGGACGCCAGGCCTCATCATATAAGCAACGTTATAAACATGTACACTGATGGCTTCAAACTCCACGAAAAGGTCGGGAGAGGAGTCTTCTCCCGATAATAATGTCAGCATCGAAATTCAACACAGAATAACTCTTGCCAACAAGTGCTACTTTGGACTGAGTAGGCAATTAATGGGTAAAGTCCTCTCTCGACGTACGAAAACCACGCTCTATATGTCACTCATCATGCCCGTGCTGGTACATGGCGCAGAAGCATGGACAATGACAAAAATCGATAAGGTTATTATTGGAGTAATCGAGAGAGATTTTACGGAAGATTTACGGGCCTTTACGCGTTGGCGACGGCGAGTACCGCAGACGAAGGAACGATGAGCTGTATGAGCTTTACAACGATATAAACATAGAGCACCGAATTAAAGTTCAGCAGCTCCACTGGTTTGGCCATGTCGTTCGAATGGACAGAAACGCTTCTACTCTGAAAGTATTCCCCCCACTGCGATGGAAAGACGAAGTAGAGAAGAACTTAGTTTCACTTGGCATTTCCAATTGGCGTCAGTTGGCACAGAAGAGAAACGACTGGCGTGTTTGTTTAATTTGACCAAAATCGCTTAGGGGGTTACGGCGTCAAATTAGAAGAAGAAGATAATACATTAAGGTTGCATGTGAAATTTCTTCAAAATCAAATTAAGCTCTTAACGCGATCCTACATACATCTGCCCCGCTTGTTTTAGTAGCTCGGGAAACAGCCATGATTGCAGCCTTAAGACTCCTGCAGGCTCTTGGAGTCAAGGTCCATCAGGCCATTCGATAATCCTAGGGGCACGGGCGCCCATACCGATACCTGCATATACTGACTACTGTATACCATCAAATACCTTCACCAAAAACTATATAATTACCATACCAACTCAAAACGACTGGGACGCCAGGCCTCATCATATAAGCAACGTTATAAACATGTACACTGATGGCTTCAAACTCCACGAAAAGGTCGGGAGAGGAGTCTTCTCCCGATAATAATGTCAGCATCGAAATTCAACACAGAATAACTCTTGCCAACAAGTGCTACTTTGGACTGAGTAGGCAATTAATGGGTAAAGTCCTCTCTCGACGTACGAAAACCACGCTCTATATGTCACTCATCATGCCCGTGCTGGTACATGGCGCAGAAGCATGGACAATGACAAAAATCGATAAGGTTATTATTGGAGTAATCGAGAGAGATTTTACGGAAGATTTACGGGCCTTTACGCGTTGGCGACGGCGAGTACCGCAGACGAAGGAACGATGAGCTGTATGAGCTTTACAACGATATAAACATAGAGCACCGAATTAAAGTTCAGCAGCTCCACTGGTTTGGCCATGTCGTTCGAATGGACAGAAACGCTTCTACTCTGAAAGTATTCCCCCCACTGCGATGGAAAGACGAAGTAGAGAAGAACTTAGTTTCACTTGGCATTTCCAATTGGCGTCAGTTGGCACAGAAGAGAAACGACTGGCGTGTTTGTTTGATTTGACCAAAATCGCTTAGGGGGTTACAGCGTCAAATTAGAAGAAGAAGATAATACATTAAGGTTGCATGTGAAATTTCTTCAAAATCAAATTAAATATATTTTTACTTGGTCTAACACATTTGCGTGAATTTTGTGTGTATTGTGGGCGTAGTAGTAAACCGATATTTATCAAATTTTGCACTTTGACTTTCTTCAATATCTAATGTAAAGCTACCTACCAAATTTCTTCAAAATCGGATCACATTTAGTATTTCCGCCCACTAGCGTAGACCTTAGCTACTTAATTTTCACCATATTGAAAATTTCTTCTTTCTACAGTTAAGGAAGGTCTTATAACAAATTTCAGAGGTATCGGTGAACGATTACTATTTTTGGCGCAGTCTACTATATGGAGTCGCGACACTGTGCGTTGTGCCATCTTAACTTTAATTTTTTGTTCTCGAAATAGATATTAAACGGATAAAGAAATTAACGGATGTTAACCGGATATTCGGTTTTTATTCGATACACAAATATCCGAACGGATATCCGAATATACTTTTTTTTTGTTCTGACAGTCTTTGAGTAAATTTCGGCAATCAAAGCGTTTCGTACTTACCTATTTTCTTATCTTCTTGAATATTTTCAGTTGTGTTTATGGACCTGTAACTTGAAAATCCCAGTTTTGTTGGAGCTGCAGTCAAATTGCCGACCGTAGTTAAATTTTCTACCGTCGAAGACAGCAAAGGTATATTTGCAAATAAATCCTCCCGCTTTGAATTTGGTTGAAGAAGATGTGGCTTATCTGCTAGAGGTATAGCAACATCCAATGGTAAGTCGAAGCTCTCCGGGGCCAAACAACCAAGGCTTATAGTTGATTCAGATCGAACAAAGAAGGAATGTCGACGGGTTGTCGCTGATAAAGGTACAGCCGTGGCAGTAGATGAGTTACTCTCAACAAATATTTCTTCATTTGTTACGTTAGAAAACTCGTCATCGATATCCTCATTTTCATTTGTATTTGGAATATTGATATTTGAACATTGGTCAACCTTTTCATAAAAACTTGTGTTATTACGCATATAGTAAATAAATCCATCAAATACGTAAGCTATGTGACGAAATGCTGTTATATCCAGGACAGGTAAAGCATCACGATGTTCCGAGGTATGCGCTCGCATCAAAGATAAACAATATGTAAAAAAGTCTCGTCGAGTCGATGAACCTAAGAAATAATTTAACAATATGTGTTTATCTTTTGATTAATTTACTCTTATTATAAGTACCAATCATATTGATCCCCGCTGATGAAGAATTGGTTTGGCTAGAACTATTTTGGGCATTTAGATTGAGAGGATGAAGCGGATGCGAGGGATCCGTAAAATTGGCCAAATAGGCACCAAATTTCAGCTGTGGTTCTGTTCCATCCATAATTGAGTACATCCAATCCCAAGTGCCTTTTAACCGATTTTCAATGTATATCTGAAATACATATAATCAATATAAGAATTCAATAAACATTTAGGCTTCAGAATGGCTTGGGGGAAGTTGAGAACTAAGTCTGTCTGTCTTCAATTTCCAAAACTGTGCCTAAACTTAACCTCCCGCATTCTAAACGAGAACGGCATATTTTTTGCATAAAATAATCAGCAGGGACCCAAAAAAATAACAATTATTTTTTAACAGTTAAACTTAGCCAAATATTTTTTAAGTCCGAAATAAAAGTCCTTTCCGGATAATAAACAAACCGCTTATCCAAATTAAAAAAATTTGGTATCAAATGAAAGAGGACTGAAACAGAAGTAAATACCACCTCTACTTATATATATTGTTTTAATTCAATACAAAAGAAATTCAAATACCTGACCCAAGGTTTGTGCTATGGTAATTAACTAAAATTTTGTATTGAAATATTTTTAAATAGCTGGCTTTCCTCGTTTATACATTTCACTTTTAAAGCCATTTTACTCCTCTTTCATTTGATACCAAACTTGTCTGATTTGGATAAACGGTTTGTTTATTATTAGGAAATAACTTTTATTTCGGCCTTAAAAAATATTTGGTCAAGTTTAACTGTTTAAAAAATAGCTGTTATTTTCGTTCCCTGATAATGAGTTTAAAAAAAGCTAGCAAGTGAAAGAAATTTAAGTACAAAAGTTTTTATTTCTAAATTTTTTTAACAGATATAGCTTTTCAACATTTAAATAGGTAACTAAAAAAAAAAAAGTTCGCCCAAATCCGCAAGACATCTTAAAAAACAGTTATATTTTATTCTGATTATATTTCATATGGGTGTTTCCATGAAAATGTAAACCAAAAATGCAAGCAAATGGGTTCAAACGACTTTATAACCTTAATTTCTGTATTCAGATGGCGAAAAAAGGTTATGAAAACGCGAAACGGCGGAGAACTAAAAAAAATTAAATAAAAAATTAACCACCGTTTACATATTTTAATTCAAAATAAAACCACAACGAATTGCTTCTGATTATATATGAGTTGGTTGAAATGGTCCGTAATTAGACCTTATTTAAAGAATGTTTAAGAAAGGAAAACCTCACAGTGTACGCAGAGTTTTGCTTACGGCTCTATTCTGCATCAGTGAAAAATTCTTGTCACAGATTTTACTACAGAAAAATATATGAAAAAGTGTAAATTTGTCAGTACAAAATTTTTTGTCACCGACACAACGGCAATTTTTTTATAAGTGACTTCCGTTTTCGTATGATTTTTTTCAACTCTAAAGTCGTACGAATGTCCCGTGCGATATCATGGAAACACCCATATGTCATAATAACCATGGTAGCGGTTAGACTCTAACCGTTAGAGGTGCGGCCATTCACCCAATGAGACGAAGGTTCGACAGCCGGTTCTACGTACCGGAATGACTCGGGTTTTACCCGACCAAGGGCTGTTGTTTCGGCGATCTAACCCCGTTTAGGTCGGCGAAGTATCTTAAAAAATTTTTGTCCATAGGGCTACATTCACTACGTATTCTTCTACTCAGGGCTGGCATCGAGTCAAACCCTGGGCCAGAAATCTACACCTGCTGTGTATGCCGGAGACGACTACACCACAACTCCACCTCAGTCAAGTGTAATGCCTGCGAGGGGTGGAGTCACCTCAGGGTCTGCTCGGGACTACGGACACACAGACAGTGGACCACGTCGTACGTGGCCCCCTGTTGCTCAAACAGAGCAGCCTCCACGGCTAACCTCAGTCCACCCGAGCAGCCTCACACAGTCACCACAACACAACAACATAATAACACCACAGACCATACCACAGCCACGGCAGACCACATAACCCACACAACCGCACCACCACCCACACGCCGCTGCCAACAACTCCTGGTCCCCCCTACAATCTGCACGGTATGTCAGACCAGGATATTCCGTAATGTGACATCAGTCAAGTGCAACACCTGCCTTGGCCGGTGCCACTTTAGGGCATGCTCAGGTCTGCGTACCACGCGAGATTGGACTGGGAACTTCGAGGGCCGGTTTTGCGCTGCTCGGTCGCAGACCTCAACTGCGACACCTCCCGCCACCACCACAGGGCGGCAACCATCACAGCAGCGCACACAGCCAACGGCGGTAAGAACACACACATCACTTACACCCCACATCACGACACGTCTCCCGAACCACATGAAGCTCCTTCAATTTAACTGCAACGGGCTACAGAGCAAGATTGAGGAGATAACCGTCTTCATGTGTCGGCATGGTATATTGATAGCTGCGGTCCAAGAGACGAAGTTGCACAGCAATTCAACTTTGTTGAATTGCGCCGGGTACAACGTGCACCGTCGAGATCGCGAGCGAGATAATGGTGGTGGCTTAGCGTTCATCACGCACCACACCGTGCAGTATCGTCTTATCGAAGCAGACATCGACCGCAGGGATACCACCCTAGAATGTCAGGGCATTGCTATCCGGTCAGGCGATGTTGAGCTCGAAATATTTAACATATACATACCCCCTGTCACCTGCTGCCCGGCAGGATATCACCCTGATATAGGTGCGCTCCTCAGAGGTGAAAACCGTATGGTAGTAGGTGACTTTAATGCGCACCACGATCTTTGGCACTCAAGCCTGTCAAACGATCGTAGGGGAACAGACTTGGCTGAGCAGATAGACGATTCGACATTCTGCACAATGAACGACGACGCACCCACCAGGATTATGGGTAACTGCAGTAGCTCGCCAGACATCACAATAGTCAGCGCTGGTCTGATAAACAGCATAACGTGGCGACCTATGCTGACTCTAGCATCAGACCATCTACCCATAGTCATCTCGATTGATAAACCAACCGACTTTGCCTCCGCCAAACACCGGACCTATATCAACTTTTCCAAAGCTGATTGGAAAGGTTACGCGGAGTTTACTGAAAACACCTTCGCAGCGCTCCCCACACCAACCGACGTCCATCTCGGTGAACGTAAGTTCCGCAGGGCTATCACTGCTGCTGCAGCTCGCTTCATACCGGCAGGATGTATATCGGACCCACGTCCAAACTTCCCTGCCGAAGCGGCTGTTCTAGCCGATGAGCGTGATAGCCTTCGTCAGGCCGATCCCGGAGATCCCCGTATCAGGGATCTCAACGCGGAGATTCGGCAACTTGTAAACGTACATAAGCGGAAGAAGTGGGAGGAGCACCTGAAGACTTGTAATTTCACCTCTGGTGTGAGCAAGCTTTGGTCAACCGTGAGGTCATTGTCTAATCCGACGAAGCACGACGACAGAGTCGAAATTTCCTTCGGCGACCATGCTTCGTCGGACCCGGAGCGATGCGCGAGCTATTTTAGCCGGCAGTTCATACTGCATCCTCCGGTGGACAAAGCCAAGCGTCGAGTGACCAGAAGGCTGCACAAACTGCCAACAACTTGTGCCCCCCTTGCTTTCACTTGCGGTGAAGTTCAGGTGGCCATCGGGAAGGCGAAAGCCTCCAAAGCCATGGGTCCCGACGGAATATGCATGCTGATGCTGAAAAATTTGGGTCCTGCGGGGGTAGCGTACCTAACGGAGGTCCTCAATTTGTCAATGGCCACTCTCATCATCCCAGACATCTGGAAGGTGGGGAGAGTGGTCCCACTGCTCAAACCGGGGAAACCTGCCAACAAAGGAGATTCGTATCGTCCGATTACACTCCTTTCCCCGGTAGCGAAGACACTTGAGGCCTTGCTACTCCCGTACTTCACAAATCACCTGACCCCAGCGAAGCATCAGCATGGTTTCCGTAAAGTGCACAGTACAACAACAGCACTTAACGCCATAAACACTCAGATAACTCGTGGCCTTAACCGTAACCGTCCCTGTGAGAGAACGATTCTAGTAGCGTTGGACTTGTCAAAGGCGTTTGACACCGTCTGCCATTCCACGCTACTAGAAGATATAGAGGCCTCCTCTCTCCCACAGAGGCTCAAACGGTGGTCGGCAAATTATCTGAGTGGTCGACATTCGTCGGTAATGTTTAGAGACAAAACGAGTAAGCAGCGAAAAATAAAACAGGGGGTTCCTCAGGGTGGTGTCCTTTCCCCGCTACTGTTTAACTTTTACATTTCAAAGCTCCCTCAACCACCAGAGGGAGTCTCGATTGTCTCTTATGCCGACGATTGCTCGATCATGGCGACTGGGAATGGAATTGATGACCTGTGTTCGAAAGTAAACGGCTATCTCTCCGAACTTTCTCGCTTCTTCACTGCAAAGTGTCTAGCCCTCTCCCCTACGAAATCCTCCGCGACCCTGTTCACAACCTGGACGAAGGAGGTCAGGCTACCGCTGGGGATTCACGTCGATGACACACCAATTCCGACGGTGAATAACCCCAAAATACTCGGAGTAACATTCGACAGCCTGCTCTCCTTCTCTGCGCACTCAACCGCTATTGTCAATAAAGTACAGAGCCGCAACAAGGTCCTCAAGTCGCTAGCCGGCAGTACTTGGGGCAAAGACAAAGAAACGTTGCTGGCAACATACAAGGCAATAGGCCGGCCGGTTTTGAACTACGCAGCGCCAGTGTGGTCGCCAGGGACTAGTAGGACGCAGTGGACGAAGCTACAGACTGTACAGAACACCGCACTCAGGACAGCGACAGGATGCCTCCTGATGTCGCCTGAACACCACCTACACGGCGAGGCGCAAATGCTCCCTGTAAAGGAGCACAATATAATGCTCTGCAAGCAGTTCCTGATCGGGAGCCACAGAAGTGGCCACCCAAGCAGACAGCTGCTTGCAGAGGAGCCCTCGCCTAGGCACGTCAGGAGGCATCTATATGAACTGACGGACGAAGTCCAGAGGTTCATCAAGCAACCTCTGGACCCGACAGCTTACCGACAGGCGCTGAACGGTATTCACAGGGACTCAGTCTCGAGTTATGTAGACTCTAGATCTGTGAATGCCGTTCTAGGCATACCACCCCCGGACATAGACGAGACGGAGCCTCATCTGCCTCGGGAGACTCGCACAACACTTGCACAA